ATTGTGAAAAGGTCAGGAAAGACATTTCACCATCATATAAATCTTTCCTGAGGCTGTACTTCTAGGAGCTAGTGTTCATCTCCATATGGAACTGTTCTGGAATAAATGTTCTGCTTTAAATTCACACACTACTTCAATCCAAAGTGTCTTTCAGGTCTAGATAAACCCTGAGAATGAAGTACCAATTTTCAGAAAATCATCAATGATGTATCAGGTCTTGGGTACTTGGTCTGAGTGGTTCTTCTGAGGACGGTCCTCCTTAATTCAAGCATTTGTTGAAAATAAACTGAGGGAATAGCTCAGTGGGTTTCTATATAGTACTTGTGAATGGCTGAGCACTGCCCACTTTCCAGGACCAGCAGTAGTGTGAAAATAACTTCTTTGTGGAGATGGTCGTACCTGCCCATGTTTGGTGGTAGTTATGTAGTTGCCACTCGTAACCCAATATATAGTATGCCACACTTTCTCTCCCTAAACTATGGGAGAGATGTTTCAGGCTTATGTGGCTTCTCAGTGCCTGCAGCCTGATATTTAACCGGCTTGTTGACTGTATTGAGACCAGCCTCTATGCTGAGGTCCTCTTAATTAGGACCCAAGATTCACTTCGGCCTCAGCACTGCATTCTCTCACAGGCTCAAGACCCCGGTCTTCTTGACCCCATACTATGATTGAATCATTCATCCAGCATCATTTCATAAGGCTTCAATAGCCCAGCCCCAGTACAAGAGGTGCCAGCTGTCTCCTTTCTTACACCCCACTCAAGGCTCTCAAAATATTCTGAAGATGGCATTTGTCACTTTTTCCAAGCACTGGACGAGTGTAGAGATCTCCGCATTGATCAGCTTAAACACCTCACTTGTTCAGATTCTGATAGCACTTTGATCTCTGTTCTGAGTTGGGGGTCTCGCACCATCGACGGTGCTAGCCACTCTGCTGCATGACTCTTCTGCTACATGATTCTGCACCGTAACTGTCTCTCAGGTTCCACTCCACAGCCACCTTGGAGTGCCTTCAGTTTCTTTGGAGAAGAGCTTGCAGGATCCTTGGAATAGCCTTTGGGGCATTGCACTCCTTTCCTGACTTGGTATCCTTCTGAAGTCTCGAGCCATGCCAGGGCTCACTCCAGCTGCTTGTGACTCTATATACAGAGCTCCATGAAGACTCTTGGAAGCCACAAGATCGTCTCTAACACAGAGCACTGAGCCAGGCAGCATGCCCTCCCTTGGCACTGATCCCTTATCTAGCACTGACACACCACTGGAATCCTAGGGGAAAATCCTACCTCCCATTGGAGGGTAGTGGCTTCCCTAGTGACAAGGCGATGCAGAATATTTGGGCCACTGCCCACCCTCTGGAATTCACTTCCTCGGAGTTGAAGAAGACCACTCTCTTCTATAAGTGTTCTACCTTCAGGAACAGTCTCCCTTACAACATCAAGGGATGCAGTTTCATGGGCATCTTCTAAACCTTTTGCTGGCAAACATCCTCAGCAGTACAGAAGTAGGATCCATCAGAGTATCTGACTCCTAGCAGCAATTTTGAGAGTATGGTTGAGAGCCATATACCAATTTGCACCATATCTCCAGTCATCCTCTCTTCATTCCCTCCTTTCTGACCCAGTCTCTCCTCCTATAGAACATACAGATGCATGTTTACTTCTGATTTCTGGGCACCAGCTGCAATGGATACTAATCCACCCATTTCTGCATCAGGCTACATGGCCATCTCCCCCTCCTTTTTTTTTTTTTTTTTTTAAAGGACCAGTCTCACTAGAGAAGCCTGTCGGTCATGAAGAGAGTCGTAGAGGAGGCTCTACAGGAACATTGGGGTAAAGGATTTTATTCTTGCTACTTCCTGATCTACTGGAAGAGCAATTGTCTGAAATATGTGCCTGTTGATGTTTCTGAGGTCGAGGACAGATGAGCATTCAGGTTCAGGATGCACACCCTAGGAGACGTTCTCCCTCTTATTCCAAGGAGACTGGTATGTGGCTCTCAACTTAAAGGACACGCTTCCTTTCATGACACAATCACAGTCTTATCAAGTGCCTGAGGTTTGCATGAAGACAAAACATTACCAGTTCAGAGTCCTTCCATTGTGGCCTATTCACAGCCAAAGTAATAGAGATCTTTGCATCCAAACAAAACACCAAGTGCAGAGGGGGCAAAAGCTTCCTTCTGAATATATTTCTACTACAAGGAGCAAACACTTGTCTCCCAGATACCCAAAGTCATAAAGATCAGATTGGACAGAGTTGTATTAATAGCTTTAAAGTTGTCTCACCAGTACTGGAACCCTGTGTATTCTGCAGCTGGCCAGAAAGCCATATTACCTGCTGCCTCTCTCTGGGCATCTTGTCTCAACAGCAAGGGAGGATTCTGTCTCCAGCCTAGAGATATTCCACCTTGCAACATGGGACCTTTTGACTAATGTGGACTCCCCGACCCCTCAGAGTCCAAGCCATCCTACTGCAATCCAGGAAAGGTTCCAGATCAAGCTGCTATAAACAGAAAAGGCTGTAGTTCACTATCTGAATCACTAGTAAAGGACTAACTCAATATTAGGCTGGGATCACTCCAGTCCTGGAGTACTATCTACACCTTAAATTTTGGGGTTTAGGTATGGCTTCCTTAAAAGTCCACCTTTTAAGAACAAACCTAATGAGCTGCTATTCTTACGAGTATGTCTTCTCACCCTATAGTCATCAGGTTCCTCAACAACAT